ATCAGTTGCATGGCGAAGAATGCTATAATATAGCTATTCCTCAATAAATGCAAGGAAAATATTTTAGATTTGCGAAACAAGTATGTGGCTGATGTCAAGAAAATGGACAAGACATTTTCTGTAGATGTTTTGTTCTCTGTTGAACAACAGGTGAAGATTTTTTCTATTTCCTGAAAAAAAAAAAAAAAACTTTCTGTGCAGACACTGCTGACGTAGCGTCTGAAATATTCCAGGTTCATGCCATGAGTGAGAATTACGTCCATGCGGCCGAAGAGATCTTGAAAGCGAAGCAAGCCGAATTGTTGAACGTGAAATGATTTCGCAGTCTGCGGAATTACAATAGTTCTACTAAGGATGCTGTCGAAATCTATGGAATTTTTTCAACGCCCTTCGCGTGCCAGCAACGCGCATTGATTACAGTATTGTTTCTGGGACAGGGATAAAAAAAACTCTAACGTTTGACATCTGTTTATTTCTTTATCGTTCATAACTCAAGTAGGGGACACTTTGCTCGTGAGATGTCGTCTGCTTGCATTGCGTAGAGATGTATCGAAAAAGAAAGTACAGTACTCGCATCAACAGCCAAAACCTGATGACCAGCTCTCCTGGCCAGTATTGTTACCGTTTTTCCAGCGAAATTTTCAGAATATTGTACGGAAAATCCTAATTGATACTCTCCAGTACATGGAGCCTACCCTGTGGAATTGGAAGTGCTCTTTGGAATTTCATATTATATCTTTGTTTAAACATGTCGTTGTGCTCTCAAGGGGTAGCATGAAGCGCGAACTCCTGTGGAACAGGAATGGAAGAAGGTTTGAATGCATGTACAGTAAAGAAAGCAGTCCGAAGGTTGTCACGTCCGCAATTTGATAGCGGAATGTCGAAATTTGTACACAGAAGCATGCATCATGTTGACAATGTGTCGTTTCTCCGCGCAATCGCCATGACTTAGCATGCATCTATGTGAACTTTGGATCTAGATATCAAGGTACAGTACAGAATTGCGGTGATAAGCTGTAAAGATATATTTTTTTCCGCGTGCTTTTAGGAATTGGATCGGTTTTATCTGTCGGAATAAGCTATTCTCTTCTTTATTGAACTTGGGATGGAATAAATGGTGTTATTTCCTTGAACGCTTGAAATTCTGTTGGATTCTCGCGACTTGAGTAACGCCTGGTAATGCCAATTTCGCGATGCTGTTCAAGGAAGAACTCCTTAAGATATCATATGACTATTAACTTCATGGGATTTTTGGATGATTACTCCTTTGTTCGACCGAAAAGTCTATCGAGAATCTCCGTACGACGCTTTTTCGTGCTTTCCGTTTCTCTTGCAAAAATCTTGATTTCGCCATTTTAAAAACTGCAGAATAAGGATTGATTTTTATTTGTATTTCAGATGTTAAAAATTGAGAAGAAGCGTAAAGGTGTATCTTTCGTTCAGCCGTTGCGAATATCGGCTGTGCTCGAATTCGTCCGTGATGGTCACGTGCTGAAGCAATTTTGGAGCAGTAATGGATGAAGAGTTTGGGATCTTGCATTGAACTGACATGAGAAGGAGCTCCAAGGTTTTTTATTCCTCCTCGTATTTTTCTTCAGTCTTTGAAATCCGAACTTCATCCTCGTTTCATTTTATTAGGTTCTACGATCTTCAATGATCCGTCTGCCGCGACTAGAGGAATGGAGAGCGCGACTTCTTGCTTAAAGGCCTAGAGTTCAACCTCCAACGAGTTTCTAAGCATCTTTGTGAGCCCGGCCTTAAGTGGAGGTATACTTTATTTCTCCTTGATTTTCTGGCCAGTATTGTGCTACATGCTAACGCCTATGAAACGGATTGAATGCTCAACGTGTTAGCGCCTATGAAACGGATTGAATGCTCAACGTGTTAGCTCATGGGATAGCGAGACTCCATCTCGAACATTCAGTTCGTAGAATATTTTCATCAAGGAATATCCCGAATACATGTAATGAAGTGTCTTTTGATCAGCTCCGACCAATGGTTCACGGATCGCTTGCTGGACTTAGCTACGGAGTCTTTTATCATGGTTTCTTTTAGTACAGTAACTAGCAATAGTGTAAAAATAGTTACGTATTCATTAGTTCGGGTTGTAATCGTGTTCTCTGATCAGATTGAATGATCTCGCGAAAAAGTTTGCTCACAATCCGTATGCTGTAATGCCTTGAGGGATTATTTCTCAAAGGTGTTCATTGAATTCACGGTTTACGAAGTTTTCTACGAGTCATAGCAGTTCCAAGTATCTCTCAAATTCAGTGCTAAGAAATTGAGTTGAATCTTTTTATTCAAGGAATAACTCCTTTGTTCTCTTAGTATTCCTGGCTATCATCATGAAGAAAGTCTCAAGATGAAAAGTTCAATTCAGGAGCATTTTAGGTCCCCGAACGACTTCGATTCTGTGATATGTTCTTTTTATCAGGCAGATCGAGAGTGCTCGGCAAACTTGATCAAAACAAAAATTGTTTGACACGATGCGCAGCCGATTGTTGAAATAATGATCCCTCAATTGAGAGAGGTTCAAAAATTCCTATTGGTGAGAAAAACCCCTCGCCGCAATTTTGAGAGTCCTAGTGCAACGCCAAGGAAACGTGTTGCAGTATTGATGCTTTCGTAGGATTGGCAACCCTTCATTTCGATGAATAACACTCACTGTAGCCACTGCATCATGTAAGATGATCTACACTACAACCAAACCTTGTGGTATTCGCTGAAATTTTGCAATCTACTCGGAGCCGATAAACTCTTGTGCTTGTTGTTGCGAACACAGAACTGATTGGTGGCTATTGTTCCTTGATTTGCATTCGCTTCCTGCAGAATTCTAGTTGATTTTTATGCCTCTTGGGTCCGAGGATTCGGTTATTCCCAACAAATTCGAGACCTGAAGTCCGAAATACACCTTCTGAAACTACGATTTTAACTGTGATGATCATGGCTTCGTTGTAAGTAAGCGAGGAAGCTGGAAAGTGTGCCGAAAGCGTCGGGCATCAATGTGAGAACTGAAGAATCATTCTGTTCCACGGGGCTCCGAAGCAGGAATCATGTTGATGTTTTTGGTGCAGTTATTCTGCAAGATTCCTCTTGCATAGTCTTATAATTTTACAAATATTTGTAAGTCCTTCGAAATTCTATCAATTTTCCAATTTTGGTGCGGGAATTTGTGATAAACTTCTGCTTTACCCTTCCACTTCCGTCACGAAACCAGAGAATCCGTTGTGTTTTGGCCAGACCTGGTTGCCGTACACGTTGAGAATTTACGATCACTGCTAGATGTTTACTTCGTGAAGGAAATTAAAAAATTTTTCTTTTTTTTCGTAGAGACCGAGAAGGCGTGTTGATTTTACGGATGATGTTGGCTCCGATCTGTTGCTGTTTCAACCAAAAGCAACGCGAACAGAAGATAATTGATCTATCTTTCGTCTGAAGTTCTTACCGTGTTTGGCAATGACGGGGTTTTAAATCGATCACTTTCTAAATTAATTTGAGTGATCCTCGTTCCTGCAGATGCAACTCAAGTCATCTTGAGAAAGTATTGCTTCGTGTTGAACTTTCGTGTCGTCACTTGTGATGATTTCAAAGCGTGTTAATCCGTTGTTCAGAATGACCGCGGTCCGAAGAGTTTCATGATTTCGAAAGATGTGTTCGATGTTCCTTGAATTTTTTTCATGTTGCAATTTTCTGCGAATCAATGATTTTTCCCGCTTTAGGCTATTTGTATTTTACGTATTGTGTTTAATGTGCATTCCAAGAAGCATTACGGTACCTTTTTTCCAGAATGAGAGTTGATGAATTTACTTACATGCCGTATTTAAGAATACAGTACAGTATACGGGTTTTTGTGTTCCGTAACGTACGGTCTTCTACGTAATCCTTAATCCCTTAAATCTTTTCCCGTCAATTTGTTCGCCCTTCATCGATGTTCGGAGGATCTTTTCAAATGTATCAAAAATTCATTTCGAAGTTGTTTCTTTTTAAGAATTAAATTAGGCAATTTTTCCACTTCTTGTTTGGGAACTGTGGCTGAGGGATATATTCTTCTCTGTTTCGGATCGTGGTATTCTGTTCTTTTTTCAGTTTTATGGTTGAAAATCTTGCGAAATGTATGACCTGATCACAATTTTTGCACGGGTTGATGGCTGTTCTTCGCGCATTAAAGTTTGATTATCGCTGCCTGAATCGTTCCACAAGTTGATGATTCCAACTATGGCAAACTTGAAAGAGCAAACTAGAATCATAGCAGAGAGTCGAAATCAAGAAGGAATCTGGTGGGCAAGGTTACTGTTCATCAGTCCCGAACGAAGCACAAGTGAGAAATCGTTGAGCTAGCGTGGCGTGACTGATTAAGAAAATAACCTCAAGAGCGACGTACAGTACTTTTTCTCCGCTGTCGTGAAAATAATTTGGTTTACATTGTTGAGTTGAAAGAATCGACGATTGGATGCAGACTTCCTGTATGATTATCTTTTCTGGTCATTTCCGGAACAGTATTTGGTATTGAACGAAAGCTTCTTTTTTTTTACTCTTCATAAAAGGATAATCAGAAATTGTCATCTAAGGATTGGTGATAAACATCAGTCAAGGGCTCAAGGCACACTTTTCGAAATTTCATTGACAATCCTTTTGATGTGTCGCGGTTTCTTGTTTTATCACGAAAAGAGATGTCCAAGGAAAAGGCTTTTGGTTCGATTTACTCGTCAGCATTCGCTGTTCCAAAATCGTTTATTTTTTTGTCGTTACCGTGTTGCCTCTTGAAATTTGCTCGTCTTGAAGTCCATTTCGAGCTTGGCTTGATTATTTTAAATTCGTCCAGACATAACTTACTCTGTGTCCTACATATTTTTCCAGGAAGGCTGAATATAAAACTGAAACCATCTACCGCGTTTTCTTGTACTGGTGAAGATCACTTTTAATGGAGTCTGTGATAACTCGAACTACAAGTTCCTTTAATTTTAGCAATTCACGCGACAGCCAGATATTTCAGAAAAAATTCTTGAACTGAAAGTCTTCAAGCAGTTGACATGGCAAAAATGACGAATTTACGCAAAAATCTTGTTACAATGGAACCAAACCGTTATTGAGAAAAGTTGCATTTGTTGAAGAATATGTATGAAGTAACTCATTCAACATTGTGGCTATTGGACAGGGAGAAAAAAAGAATGTTTTGTAAGTAATTATTTGTCATAAAAAGATTTTACTCATGCTGTATACAGTAGTGGGAATTACCTTTGAACCTATTTTGAATGCTGAAAAGTGGCAAATAAAGCTTGTTTATTGATATAGTGTGAAGAATGAGGTTAGATTTGTCTCAGAAAGCACGTGCCTAAAAATTAAATATCTGGCCTATGATTGGTGCATTATTTGAATAAATGTGTTTGTTATTTAATGCCTCATCTGTGTTGATAATTGTCTGTTGAGATTCATGAGAAACTGCAGAAATTTTATCCTGTGATTAAATCAACTGTGTGACTCAAAATGTTGGACCTGAAAGGATCCATGTGCTGAAGCATGACTTGGCAATCTGGGTTTGCACACAATTATTTCAAGGATAAAATGAGAATCCTGCATCTTGGTAATTTATTTACATTCCAATTCCTTGTGCTAAGAAAATTCTTGTTACTGTGCAATAAGGTAATTCATGATGACCAGAAATAATTTGATCAGTACAGTATTATAGTTTCTGATAATGAAGGTTCGCCTTTTAACCGTAATTTCCCAACGATTAAAATGCTCGGTGCGTATGTTGGCATTTCCGGAAGTTGCTGGATGGACTCGTCTTGATTTTTCTCCGTGAACGCCGTGTCATTTCATAACATAATTTACCTGGAAAATCACCATGTTCAATCTAAACCAATGCATCCTTATTGCTGCGGTCCCGGATTTTTCCTTGCATGAATTCCCGTGTCTCCCGAAGTGGCGGGTAAGTAAACCATTCCCTGCTGTGGAGAGGTCTGCCCTAATCCCTTCCCTTACATAAACTCCACTAATTGCGGGATGCTTGGTTTGTTGAAATGGCCCGTAATTAGTAGTTTCCTTTAACCATTATTCCGAAGCCACTCAAAAGAGAATGTTCCAACATTTAACAGCATTACTGTTTCTACAACACTACAAGTATTGTATGCTGTCTATAAACAGTATGTGCAAGGTGCGTCACGTGATTCACCCGACTGGTGGTGGCTTTAGAGACAAGGCCAAGACTGTTTCAGAAACTTGGAAAATTGTACAGCAAAAATCCTGATTGTATCCTCCAGTCATTTTTCAAAAGATAGAACCGTAAGTATAACGATGTTTCACAGCAGCAGCCCAAGCAAATGTGAATGTTTCTGTTCCTCATTACAATATTTAAATTTCAACTTATTGTGTAAATTATAGTTATACTGTAATGTACTTGTCTCGATTTTCAAACCTTTTGGGTCAAAGCTTTGTAACATCTGATCAGAATCCAATAAAAAATAGTACTGCGCATGAAAGTCGCTCAGTAAAAAAAATTAACAGTTTTCGCGTTTCTGTGTGTTCGTAATTGACTATTTTTAATCCATCCGTAATTGATGGCAGGAAGAAAAGCCAAATGTAATTTATTGGTCATAAATTTAATCATGTTATTACTGTTTGTTGAAGATCAACTTCAGCATTCCAGAATATTGCTGGACTGCTTTGATTTTCATGTACTGTAGTAGCTCTTTTTTGTTGAGGTGTGATATTTTTCTTATGATGAGTTAGAAATGAATTGCAACTGTACCCAGTGAGCAAGAAGTAGTCTGTTCCCCTCCAAAATTAGTCAAAATTTGACAATTTATCCAAAACTAATCCAAATTTGCTTTATGGTTTGGATATGTGCAGACACTTGTGTCTGCACATATCCAAAATTTGTCCTATTTGGATGTGGGACACAAGTGTCCATACACATACAGATAGGTACATATATTTTTTTTGGACCTGACTGTGTGTTGGTACAGGTTCTAAAATTATTGCTGCTTGTTTGGATGTGTGCAGATGTGTGCTGACACTTGTGTCTGCACACATCCAAACCAGGGGAGTGTGGACTGTTAGAGCCAGAAACTTAACCAGGCATTTTCCACAAGCTCAACATGGTCTTTATGATAGCTGTCTGACTAAGGAGTTGGGCTCTTGCTCAGAAGGTCATGGGTTCAGTCCCACCACAGGTCTAGAAAATTTCAAATGCTACTGCATCATGTAAAACACAAACTTTCACACTCACATGTAAGCTCACATGCACACTCATACATACACACACTCATTTCTCTCATTGCAATAGTTTCTCACCTGAAGCCCAATGTCCACATATTCACAATTCAATTGTCATTAATATAAAAACAGTTCTTCATGGGAATCAGGCACAAAGAAACTGCAGAACATGAATTTTGCTCCATTGAAGGCAAAAATGAAATTTTGGAACAATTTGGGTGAATTTTCAATCTTTCAGAAAAAAAAACTAGAAAGTAATTTTATTGAATCCTTTTATATTGGACACCCTCCCTTTTGGAGGAGTTTTGAATATATGTGGACAACTTCTTCCTCACTGGGGTGAGAAATAAAAATGATCTGCAAAGCTGCCATATATGCTTGATGGATGAGTGACGCACTCTTCCTCCTAAAAAAATATGCTGTATTTATGCAGGTACTTTTTGTCGAAGCGCACCTGCTTTTCATACTGAAATTGCAATAGAAAGAACATATCCCTTATGTGTATAGTATACAATGCTCATCTGAATTTTCAAGCGGCCAAATTACAGTGAGACCCCCAGATGCGGACATAATTGGTGTATCAAGAGTGTCCCTATGTTGGATTGTGCCCAAGTCAAATCTGGTTTTCTCATAGACTTACATTGTATAATTATTAATTGGTGTTTTATGGAAGAAATATTCTTCAGAATTTCATGAAATAAAATTTTTGGCACTTGAATTTGATTCAATGAATATCTTTTCAAACCAATAAGAACATCTGGAACATTGAATAGTGTACCTCTGTAGAGTAAATTAAAAAGTTGGCATCTGAAGAAATAACATCCATGTAGAATGGATGGGAAAATCATGGGAAAAGTACCAAAGAATTTTTCTTGCATAGATCTTAGGTTGGAAACATCTGCTTCTTGCAATTAAGCCTTATAAAAATTGATTTTCCTAAAATTTATTTTGAAATTTTATCCTGCCATGTCCCCAGGTTGAGTCAGTGTCCTCATTTTGGGTCTTTTTTATGATTTTTTTAAAAATAAATGTGAATTTATAAGCTTAATGATAGCAGCTTTGTTTCAGTTTTTTTTTACATTTTCCTCTCTTTTCTTGATGGTGGTTCATCAATACAAGGTAGCTCTGAAAAAGATGACGAATAGTGTGTTTCATGAAAACAATTGTACAGTACTGTACATACAAATTACCTGGGTTTATCACGCGTGCCCCATTATTTCATCATCATTTTCGAAGAAAGGTGCGTGGGATACTCTAGCAAATGCGGCAATTTAACAGAAATCAGCTTCCCATTTTTGCAAAGTTTATATAGCACTTGTCTTTAACAGCTGCAGCAGACCTTTGAAAAAGGATTTTGTCGTACAGTGTGCTTTTCATCCTTACCCGGGGGCTCACTGTAAAACCCTTCGTTCAATTTTAAAAAGTGTTAGCTGCATTTTCGTTCCAGAAAATTCAAAGACAAAAAAAAAATGTGCGTGCTTTTGAGAAGCGTGAGATCAATAATTGAAGCACCGCTTGCTTGGATAATTCATTTCACGCAGATTTGCGTAATAAAAATGTGATAAAACTTCTGTATGTCTTGTCCTAATTTTACAGTTACAACCCAGTGCAAAATTTAGAGCCCGGGTAACCTTTACAAGAAAATGAATGCGAATAGAAAACATTTCGGCGGAAGCAAATGCCCACAATTGAAGAAAAATTCTTCTGCTCTTGAATTCGTCTTCGTTGGAAACGTACTAAGAAGACTCAATTGATGTTGCTGGATGATGACCCTAATATTCTCTGATGCGAATATGTTAGTAATGTACAGTACTGTATACCTCGTATACTAACCATATTTTTGCCCAATTGTCAATTTTCAATTATAGAAAGCCTTCAAATGCGGTCGGTCTCATTGCTCGAATTAAAAATATCATTTGATTTATTCTGACTAATCATAGTCAGCCGCTGGGGCTTCTTAATCGTTTTTCATTTCCTTCTCTTGTTTTACGCTATTTTACCATGATCCTTCTCATCCGATCCTGAACATAAACTCCAATCCATAAAATATTGAAGGATACTTTTAAGTACTGCGTGATATGATATTGCCTGAATTTATTTCCGACAGCAGCCGCAGTTTTTCTTCCGGCTGCTACGTACTCGTACATTATTCGGCATGTGAAAAAAAGCGGTTATTTAACTATGCAAGAATATTTTCTTGCAAAGATCCATTGTTTTTAACAGTCTCGAAAACTCTAAATAGTACGCACGATTTCGGATCAAAAATGCAGATTATAGAGGCACAATGCATCCACGCTGCTTAAATGATTGGACTCTCTCCATACACAGTACAACGAAATTCAAGGGACCATAAGTATGTTGTTTCAGAGAATTTCGTCGTGGCAGAATCCCTATGGAATAGGGAAAGAAGAATCCATGTATGGAACCCCAAAAAGATCAATTATGCGAAGATAATCCTTGTAAAAAAAAGAAAGTCGTTGTAGAGAGATTCCGCCATCACAGTATATAGAATTACTGTGGCGGCTTTTGATGAAAATGGCGGAATTTCATTGGAAGATCTGGAGGCAACCCTTGGAAAGAATGCCAAGTTGATTTCAAAAATTCTGAGGGGAAAGCTGGGCTACAACAAAAGGCAACGCTTGGAAAGAAAGCCAAGTTGATTTCAAAAATTCTGAGGGGAAAGCTGGGCTACAACAAAAAAAGGACGCCTAAACTTTTGAGTGGAGAGCAAAACTCTGCCGGGGTGAATTATTGAAAAAATTCAAGAAAATTTGTTAAAAAGGGCTGTTATTTTTTTGTGTGCCAAAGA